CATTCCTGTCCTAGTTCCTACATCAGCCTCTGCTGCGAGAGACTGGGGCTGGAGTATCCAGCTGCCCCCGCCTCCTATCAGTACTTCTGCCCCAGGCACCCCCTACTGGGAGAGACTGAGGCTGGAGTCCCCTGGCACAAACTCAGCACCCCCTGCTGCTGCAGTACAGTATAATCTCATGACTCCAGCATGCTTGGGACCGAGCACCTGCTGGAAATTGAAAATTCCAGATTTTGAAAGCAGAGTGGCGGCTGGTCCCGGGGTGGGTGGGGGTGGGGGTAGTAGCGGGGGGGGGGGGGGGGGGGGTAGTAGCGGCAGCAGTTGCACGCAGAGCAACAGCGCAGGGTGTTGGATGGCAGTGGTAGCCGTTGCATGCAAGCTTCCTCCTCTGCTGCTCCAGGCCCAGGCCCCGCTACTCCCTGATGGAGTGTAGTTTTAAAAGGTGCCAGATTTTTGATACCCAGGTTTATGAGGTTATACTGTATTATTATGGGATCATTAAGAAGGGGAAGTATAGTGATGCCCCTTTATTCACCTTGAATCCTTCGCCCACTTCTGGCCCCCGGGCCTCATGGAGGATAGAGAAGAACTAGAGAAGGTTCAGAGAAGGGCAGCAAGGGTGATCAGTGGTATGGAGGAGTTTCCATAGGAAACGAGATTAATGAGGCCAGGCCCATTGAGAGACATGCTGGAGGGGGGACATGAGAAGGGTTTCCAAAATATTTAAAGGGTGAACAGAGAGTTTTGGGGGTTTTATGATCTTTCACTGTGTAAAACTGAGGGGTCATAGCATAGAACAAGGAGGCCATTGGTTTAAAAGGAACACAAGGCAGTTCTTCACGCAGCGTGTCATGAAAGGGTGGAACTTGTTGCCATCAATGCAGTGGAAGCTGAGAGTTCAGCAAGATTCACAAAGGAACTGGACACATTCTTGGAGGAAATTCTATGCCGGGGGTCGGACTCGATGATCTATTGAGGTCCCTTCCGACCCTAACATCTATGAAACGGGGATCAGTATCTATTGAACATGGCATGAGGGACACGGCCTCTGAATCAGAGCTTCCTGGACCTGAAATGTTGGAGACTGCAACAGAGAAGAACAGGGTCAGACCTAGTTCACTCTCCCTTTCAGCATCTGCTCTCTGCTGCTGTGTGATACAGGAGACTGGGCAAGATGGGCGTAGGCTCTGACCCAGGTAATGGCAGGTTCTCTTTAGGAGCCACCCCCTGACTTGCCCCTGGTCCTTCCCCCCGGCAGGTGGGGTGGTGACGTCAGGCCTGGCCATCTATGACACGATGCAGTACATCCTCAACCCCATCTGTACATGGTGTGTGGGGCAAGCAGCCAGTATGGGCTCCCTGCTGCTCGCAGCCGGCTCCCCGGGCATGCGCCACTCGCTGCCCAACTCACGCATCATGATCCATCAGCCATCAGGGGGTGCCCGGGTGAGTTCAAGGTGGGGGCCGGAAGGAGCAGGGTTGATGGGCTGGGGAGTGTCTCCAGATCATTTAGCATCACAATTTGGGTTGGGCCCAGCTGCTGCCTGTTGGGTAAGTCTTGGGGGCTCAGTGATGTGGCACTGGGGGAAAGAACTAGGTGTCTTAGCACAAGCCACTTTCCCCTCCCCCCCAGTTAGCCCCACCACTACAACACAGGCTCTTTCTGGGGTTGGGCTCCTTTGAACTCTACACCTCTGAATTGATAGAGGAATGCAGCTGGCTTATCCTGTATCAGTTCTGAGTTTCTCCTGGGACTTGGAGAGGACAGGCACACACTTACCCCAGGGTAACCTGCCAACTAGATGGCAGGACACACAGCACTGGCTTCCCTATAATTGCGCTCATAGGGTTACCCCAGGTTGGGGTTGTGCCATGTGTCTGCTCCTGGGTTATCCCAGAGCAAGGCTAAGTGACCCCCAGGGTGGAATTGTAGTAGTCAGACTGGAAGGGACCCCAGGGGTGGGTCACATTGGGTCCAACCTCCTACTCAAGGCAGATCAGCCCCGTCTAAATCATTCCAGACACTTTGTCATCCAACCTAGTCCTCAAACTGCACCATCAGCCCTGACACAATACCAGACATCACACACACCTGAACCTGCCATAGGGAGAGCAGGGAGACAACGGTGGCTAGTGCCGTGCTGCATAAGACTGTTAACAGACACTTCAGAGATCCCAGGCCAAGGAGAAATGTACAACCCACCCCCTGCTGTCTGTGCCAGTCTGAGCAGGGAAAAATTCCTTCCTGACTCAAAATCAGGGATCAGTCTGAGCCTGGGCAAAGGGGCAAAGCCCTCTAGCCAGGAGCCTCTGGGGTTAAGTCCCAGCAGGAGCATTGGCACAACCCAGTCACTATCTCCAGCCTGGGCTGCAGCCAACACCTGATGCCTCTCGGAAGGGGGGAATAAACCCTGATACCTGTAGAAGCAGGAGAAGGGGAAAGAGATTCCTTCCTAGCCCGATGGGGCAACCAGCAGAGTCCAGAAGCCTGTGAGATCCCCAGAGCAGAGCATGGACAGAGCCATGCCCAGATCATCTCTGACTAATGCCTCCTTGAGGATGGAGACTCCTACCCCCATGCCTCCACTGCCCTGGGCATCTGTCTCCCTGCCCCACAGCTTTGACAGTGAAGAGGTTTCCCCCTGAGATCCAATCTGAACAAACTTGCCTGCAACTTGAAGCCACTGGGGGCATAAATACATGGTGTGGCCAGGCCTGGGGAGAGCTCTGGTCCATCAGTGCAGTGAGTGGCGGGGACCGGGGTCTCTGCTCCATCCTAGCTTTGAGGTGGAGATGTGGGGGGTGCCACTGGTTTTGGAGGAGGCTAAGAGCAACCCCTGGTGGGCAAGGTGTATCAGGCTGGGGTCACATGTCTGTTCTACCCCACCCCCCACCACACCTTCCACCACAGGGCCAGGCCACAGACATTGCCATCCAGGCTGAGGAGATCCTGAAGCTGAAGAAACAGATCAATGGGCTGTATGCCAAGCACACCAACCAGCCACTGGACATCATTGGTGAGTGTCCCCAGTAGCCCCCCAAATCCACCCCCCATGAGGCTTGGGGAAGGGTGGGGATCTTCAGAGGCAAATTATAGGGTTGCCAATGTCATGTGTCCTGCCACCCAGTAGCCAGGTGCTGTCATAGCACTTGCTACCTTGGCGAGAGTGTGCATCTATCTGTTTTGGGCCCTGGGGGGGACCTCTCAAGAGCTGGAGAATCTGGCTACATGTCTCTGTCACCTTGGGGTGTAGGGATTAAAGTCTCTTCCCTGGCCCCAGGAGAAGCTCCTAGAACAGGAGTCTGTGTTGTGGCAGGAGCTTATGGGGGTAAGGGGGGAGGCACCTAGTGGTTATGTTAGGACACCTGGGTTCCCACCATCTCCCCCTGCCAGCACTGCATCACTGAACCCCAAGATTCACCCAGGAGTCTGAGCTAACCCAGACTTTGCTGCTAAAGGATCTATGACCTGATCGTCCCACTTCCCCCCTGCCAAGGGGGCTCCCTGAACACACCCATGTGCCCTCTGATGCCTGGTGGGTTGCAATCAGAGGCAAGATCCTGGGAGATCAGCTGTCCATGCCCCCAGCCCCCCTCCATTTCCAGCTGTGAGGTTTTTGTGAAGGGGGATAATTATCTGACCACCCTGTTCTTGCCTGCTGCAGAGAAGGCCATGGAGAGGGACCGGTACATGAGCCCCACAGAGGCGCAGGAGTTTGGCATCTTGGACAAGGTGCTAGTTCACCCTCCCCAAGCTGGCGAGGACGAGCCTGAGCTGGTGCAGAAGGAGCCATCCCCGCTGCCAGCAGCCCCCGTGACCTCAGCCCAGCCCTGAAACCCCTCCTGCAGGCACTGGGCACCCATGAGCTGCAGCTGCTGCGGGCATCCAGGACCTTCCACCCAAAGACACCAATCCCCTCACAAAACACTAGGACTTGGACAGATGACCCCCTCACTCGGGTACCCCCTCTGTGGGTGTCAGGACTCATGGAACCTTCCCAACATCTGCTCTGCCTGACCTGGGGCCTGGCACCTCTCAGCCCCCACTGCATTTCTCTCCAAGCCCTGTTATATTAGCCCCAGGATCTGGGGGGTCTCGTCAATTAAACCCCTGTGGCCTCTTCTCTGCCCATGGGTTCTTTTGGTGGGGGGCGGGCATGGAAGGCTGAACGTCGGGTTTTTCCAGGTGTCTTTGTGTGTCCTGGCTGTTGAGGTTCAGATCCCTCCCTTAGGTACCTCCACCCAGGCCAGAGCAGCTGGTGGCTTGGAGATGCTGCCTGGCTGGGCATGTGGGGCAGGGCTTCTGGCTCAGATGAAGGGCCAGGTGGCATGGGGGCAGGGCTCTCCATGGCCTTGGGGATACTTAGAGCAGCCTGGAGGTGGCTCTAGCTTTCTCCTGGGACAGTCCAGTGTCCCCAGGACCCTAGCCATGCCCTCCTACCTTGCTTATGGGGGGTCACAGAACCAGTCCCATTTGCTAACATTGCTAGCAGGAGGCAGCTGAGAATCAGCTTGAGGTCATCTGGGGGAAGGAGCTAAGGCAGCTGGTTCTGGGGTGGAACACGAAGGAACTGGTTCTGGGAGAAGGGGCTGGTGCAGCTGGCTCTGGGGTGGACCATATCTGCTAGCTGTAAGACCTTGCAGCTGGCTTGGGTGGAACGTAGGAGATGGCTCTAGAGTCCCAGTCCAGATTCCACCACCCCCCTCCCAGAGCTGGGAAAGAACCTGAGTTTCTGGGCTACCAGCCCACCTGACTCTAACCCCCAAGCTCCCGCTCACCTCCCAGAGCTGAAGAACCTGTGTCCAGGCTTCCAGCCTGGTTCTGGGACACTACGGCCAGCTCTGGAGGAAGGGACTGGTGTGGGTGGCTCAGGGGCTGTGGGTAGCTGGAGCACAGCAGCTATTGAGCAGCCCGGACTAACATTATACCAGCTGCCCAGAGCTGCCCCACCCATCCTAATTGCCCCATGTGGGGTGGGGGGGAGTCTCTGCCCTGTCTGCAGGCCCCGCTCCCTTTTGTGTATAGCCATGTTCCCCCCCCACCTCTGCCTACTACATACATGTCCCACATGTCCAAAATCTGCCCTTATCTTATCCTCTCCCCACAACAGCACAAATGTGTACATGCATGTCCACACGTGTAAACACCTTGTTCCTCTCCAGTCCAATAGAAACCCGTACATTCTCCTTGCTGCTCCTATGCTCCCCCATCAGTGTCCCCTATATACCCCTTCCCCACCCCACGTACAACTGCACACCCCACCCTAGCCATGTGGTGCTACTGCCTCTTCCTACCAGCCCTGGAGAACTGCAACTCCCAGCATGCTCTGGTCCCCACAAATGCTGCCCCTTACTATTGGTTAGCCCCCACCAGTGGGAAGCTAGCAGTGGGATGAGGGGGCCAATAGGAGAGGTGCTGGGCTGGGCAGAGAGGCTATATAAAGGGTCCTATGAGAGGATGGGTGAAAGCTTTGCTTCAGTCAGAATGGAGGGAGCTGGGACCCCTGGGTTCTATCCCTGCTCTGGGAGAGGAATGGGGGCTGAGGGATTAGAGCAGGGGTGGAGTATGGGCGGGAGCCCGGATGCCTGGGTTCTTTCCCTGCTCAGGGAGGGGGGCTAGGAGCCCAGGTGCAAGAGGCAAGTAGCAGGCAGGGGTCTCTGGATTGGGGCACTGGCCTGGGTCTGACCTGAGCTCCTTGGGGCATCTTCCTGCTTCCCTGTAGGGTCTAGTCTGGGCCGGGGGGTGGTACCCATGGAGAAGCTGGGGTGCCCTAACATGCTGGGCACCAACCTGTCACCAGGTAACCATTTGCTCTTACCCCCTGCCCCTCCCAGAGCTGGGAGAGAACCCAGGTATCTAGGCTTCCAGTCCTACCTGCTGTCAACCCTCAGTCCCTGATCCCCTCCCAAATCTAGGAGAGAACCCACGTGTCAGCTCCCAACTCTGCCTGCTCTCACTCCTCACCCCTCCCACCCACCAGAGCTGGATAGAACCTAGGTGTCTGCCCCCCCCATCCCCCCAGACCCCTTGCCCAGCCCAGTGAGGCTTTGGGTCAGGGGCTCAGTTCAGGCCATGGGCAGCATCGTGGCCCTCAAGTCCCTGGAAGCTCCCAGACATCTGGGTTCCCATCCCAGCCTTGTGGCTGACATCAGTTTCTTGCAAGGGTCTACCCCCCTGCCCCAACTCCCACCTCTCTTCCCCAGCAGAATCTGGGGGCTCAATGGCCCTGCGGGGCAGTCCTCAGATCCTGGATGACTCCTTGGAGCCGCTGGCCAGGGGCTCATGCTGGAGCTGTGACGTGGAGCCTGGCATCGGCCCTCTTGCCCAGGCATGTCGGCTGGACACAAAGGTGTTAAGCGGGGGAGGGGCGGAGGGGCAGCGCACTGGGAGGGGAATCAGACACTAGCCAACCATGGCTGCAGTGGTGAGGGAACAGGGGTGGTATATTGAGGGGACAATTAGGTTGGGGGACAAACTGGTCTGGGGCAGCTGCCCCAGGGAGGTCTGGAGCAGGTGGGGGTGCCAGGTCTGTCTGCCCCCCATGACTCTTTCCATGGCAGGAGGAGCTGGGGCTGCCCTCCCTGAGCACTGCTGGCAGCTCCAGAAGGCAGTGCTGGAGCCAGGAGCTGGACCAGCTGCGGGAGCGCCAGGCCCAGCTCAAGGTGAGGCTGGTGGGGACTAACAATGGGGGGGGTCCCCTCATTAGTACCAGTGAGCCAGCAGGGGGCATTGGGTGGGACCTAACTGCCCCCCAGCTCCCATTCTGCTGCATTGCCCCCCCAGGAACAGCTGTGCGCCTGCGCGCAGGAGCTGGCGGTTGTGCGGTGCCATGAGCAGCGGCTGCAAGAGGCCAACAAGGAACTGCAGGAGCAGCTGCAAGTGCAAGAGGCCAAGGTAAGACCCATGTGGGGTGTTGGACCCCCCCAGCCCCTCCTGACCCCCTAGACCTCCTTCTGCCCCCCTTGACCCCTTCAACCTCCTTAGACACCTCTCCTTTCCTTTCCCCCTCCCTACCGGCTCCTCTGGCCCCTTCTGCTCCCCTCAGACCCACCTAGACTCTTTCTGCCCCCTTCCAGATCACCCCCAGGCTTCCTTCTTAACCCCCTAGACACTCCAGCACCCTCTGCTTCTCCAGGCCACTCGGGCCCCTAGACCCCCCTGACCCTTCCTGACCCTGGGCCACTCCTCCTCCCCTGCCCTCCCAATGCCCCTCATGTACAGCCCCACACAGCATCTCCCAGCTGAGTCCTCCCTGGTGCCATCCTCCCCATGGAGACCCACAGGCTGGGGATGGGTTTTGCACACTGTGCCCAGGTGGAACAGCTGCGCAGCACCCTGGCGACCCGCGGGGCCCATCTGGGCCAAGAGCTGCGGCGCCGGGAGCAGGAGCTTGGACGGCTCAAGGACAGGCTGGGCCAAGTGGTGATGGACAAGCGGGACCGGCGCACCAGTGAGTGGGGGCTGCACTGTGAGGGGGGCCACTTCCTGTCCTCAACCTGTGCTGGGACCCCACTTCTTGGCCTGGGTCAAGGCCCTACTTCCTGTCTCAAAGTCTCTAGTTGGCTGTGGTGGGATCCCACTTCCTGTCCAAAGTGTCCAGTAGCCTGTGGCAGGACCCCACATCTAGGCCCAAAGCCTCTGGCTGGCCATGGCAGGACCCCCCTTCCTGTCCCAAAATGTCCAACTGGCCACAGTGTAGCCTCGCTTTCTGTCCCAAAGTCTCCAATGACGGCATTCTATCTTGCTATGAAGTTCCCCACTCTTGAAGCAGCCACATCAGGACGCTGGTCATGGGACCCCCTTTCCTTCCCTAAGCTGCCCCAGCCCCCTCCACCAACCCTGATCTATTCTGTTTGTCCCCTTAATGGGGGTCATGGGGGGTGGGGGGATACTTCCCACTGCGGGAAGGCTTGTCCAGTCTGAGGGCCCGTAGGGGATGAGCCAGGACTCCTGGGTTCTCTCTGGCTCAGGTCGGAGAGTAGGTCCCGGTGGTTAGAACAAGGCGTGGGCTGGCATTGATGCTCTAGCTCCATCCTGCTGTGACCCTCGGCCTCAGCTCTGAGATTCCCCCCTCCCTTCCCCCACCCTGTTTCCTAGACATGGACATCCTCAACCCGTTGAGCCGTGCCAATGGCCGGAGAGCCACCTGGAAAACCGGGAAGGCGTTGGGGAAGTAAGGGGGGGGCATGACTTGGGGGTGAGGCAGCACTTGTGGCTGGGCTGGGGTGGTGGGCAGCAGCATGGGGTGGGCGCGATGTGGGGACTCTGGGTCTTGGGGGACAGATACAAGGGGCTGGGTGGGTTCAGAAAATGGGGAACCACCCCCCACCTACATTACCCTCACCCCCAGGCGGGAGGAGGAGCTCTACCGCTCCCTGCTGGGCACCCAGGAGAAACAGATGGCAGTGCTTGCAGTGGAGAATGCTGAGCTACAGCTGGCACTGGAGCAGCTGGGGCATGATTTCCAAGGCCTCCTGCCACCTGGCCAGGTGAACAAAGCCCAAAGGAGGAGCTGTGGGGATGGAGGGGGGGTCCTGTGCCCCCTCCCAGACTCATGCCCCAACCCCCGGTCTACAGGATGGGGATCCCAAGCTGGACAGCACCCACCTGGCTGATGTCATCTGGGAGCTGTGGGGCTGTCTCAAAGCCCGGGTTGAGGCACTTGGGAGCTGGGGTATGTGCACCCCACCACCCTTCTCCCATCCCCTACCCCCATCCTCACCTCAACCAGGCCAGGCTCCTTCATCTGGGGGCTCTTTCTCCCCCTCCAGCCTCCATGTGCCCTGGGCTGCCTGCATGAACCCCGGCATCTGGGACACACAACCCCTCCCTTCTCCCAACCCTGGTGGGTTGAAAAAGTGAGAGTCCCCTTCATCCTCTCTCCAACCTTAGGGGTCCCTAAGCAGCCCCCTCCAGCCAGCAACTTGCCCCACAGCACCCTAGGAAGAAGGCACAGAACTCAGGCGTCAGGGACATACAACCTACCCCCCCACAAATCCCTGCTGGGCTGTGAAGTGGGTGGGGGGGGCTTGTCTTCACCCTTTCTACAGCTTTAGGGGTCCCAAAGCTGTCCCCCTCCTTAGGCATTTGGTACCAGACCCCCTTGTTTCCTCACCCCCAGCAGTGGCCGGGGCTCCCCCAGGGCTGGGGGTTGCAGGTGGGGAGTTGCCTGTGATCAGTGTGACCGACCATGACAAGGAGATTGCCAGGCTCCGAGCTGAGATCGAGGAGAGCCGCAGCCTCATTGCTTGGCAGCAGCAGTGCCTGCAGGTGTGTGGACCCCCAGGCCTCCCCTCCCTCCCCTTCACCTATGGTACTGTCCCAGAGCCCCCGTTCTATACTGCTGCTGCTGCATTCTTCCTGAGAGGCAGCTGCATCAAGGCCCTAGGCCTGGGGACCTACCTCTCCTGCCTCAACCCCAATCTGCCCCAGCCTGGGGGGTCATGCCCTGACCCTTGTGGCTGTGAGGAGGGGTCACCCATGTGAGTGCTGGGGTGTGGCAGAGGAGGGGGGGACACACCTGCTCCAGCCTGCCTGGGTTGGGGGACAGGGGAGAAAGACAGATGCCAGACTCTGCCACCCTCATTTGGGAAGACATAGACTTACCCAGAATCCTTAGCAGCCAGGTGTCAATGCATCCAGTGCTCCCTGCCCCCTCCCTTCCCAGTATGCTGGGACCCAAAGGGGCTGGGGGTGCCATTACTGCTCCTCCCATGGCACTGCCCCCCCCACCCCGGCCTAGATAAGAGGATCCAAAGGGGGGCCAGAGGCAGTGCCTCCAGCACCCCCATGATGCCCTGTCCTTCCTAGGAGAAGCTGGTGGTGGGAGTGGGTACAGAGCTGCCGCCAGGCCTGGAGGGCTCCTATGTACTGGAGGAGCAGCAGCGGTTGCAGGAGGAGCGCATGCTGTTTCAGCAGCAGCAACAAGCCTTCGAGACTGAGCGACAAAGCTTCACCGAGGCCGCCATCCGCCTGGGCCATGAGGTGGAGGGGGAGCCAGGTCCTTGGGTTGTAGGAAGAGCCAAGTATTGAAGGCCAGGGTGCAACCAGCTCAGGGCTGGGAGACAGCTGAGTGTAACACTGTCTGGGTAGGACTGAGGCAGCCAGCTCTGGGGTGCAGCAGTCAGGAAACAACTGAGTATATAACAGGCCAACTGAGTAACTGCTGGGGGGTGGGTGAATGGCTGAGTATAACAGGCCAGGATGTGCCCTACTCATGGGGCAGGGGCTTAGGGGTGGTAATGAGGGGTTTGGGGGATGGGGGTGCAAGCCTAGAGGGGTAGGGCCTAGGGGGTGCCCACAACCAGGTGGTGGGAGTTTGTGGGGGGGGAAGATGGGACTGGTTGGAAGGTAGAACCAAGGAGGTGGGGGCAGCAAGGAGCTTGGGGGTGCAGAAAGGGGCTGGTGGGGGGCTGGCCTTGGGGGTTGGGCCAGAGAGGAGGCAGGCCCTGGGTGATGGGAAAGTTGGGGGGCAGTTTCCCAAGGCCCCTAGAGTCAGCAATGAAGGGGGAGAGCTGTAAGGAACCTTCCAGGCTCCTCTCCTAGCTACATGGTCCTTTGGCTGGGGGTCTTCAAGGCTGCCTCCTCACCATCTCACCCCCCTCCTCTCCTCTGTATCCCCAGAGGCAGCAATTTGAGGCAGAACGTGCTCTTCTGCTGAAACACCAGTTCCTGAGCACTGCGGCCAACTTGGACTTGTGGGGTCCCCAGCGACAGGAGTCAGCCCCCAGCACCCCCTGGGGTAAACAAGTCCCTTGGCTGGATTGTGTCACACCCACACCCCTACCTCCTCAGGCATTTCAAGTCCTAACTTCTCTTTCTCTGCCCTCTCAGTCCTGGACCAGGAGCCACATCCCCGGGCCAAGAAGCGGCCCCAGCCCAGCTACTCCCCCTTCCCGGTGCCGGAGACCTCTGCCATGCCCTTCCGAAGCCAGCCCCTTCACCCCCAGCCTGCCAGTACCCCCTGCCTGGGAGAGCAGTGCTGGGGGCAGTGTCTCATCCTGCATTACAGGTGGTGTTTGCTGTCTGTGGAGTTGGACCAGGGACTCTTCATGGGCCAGGAGGGAGCCTGGAAGAGCCTGGGACAAACCCTTGCTGGATGGTGGGGGATAGAAATTCAAGCAGGGGGAAGTCAAGGTCATGGGAAGGAGGTGGGAAGTTTGTAGGCAGGAGGGTAGTTGGGTGCTGGAAGTTGCTGTGGCTGTGAACAGCACCTGGTTGCTCAGGTTGAGGGTGTGGGAGCAAAGCAGGTTTTGTGTGGATGTGTCCATCTCCAGCATGTGCTCTTCTCTAAGGGAAGGACTAACTAGTAGGAGGGGGCCTAGGGCTGGACAATGACTTGAAGCTGTATCCAAGGAGGTTTAGACCAGATGTCAGGGAAAGTTTCTTCACAGGGAGAATAGATGGCAAGGGGAATTGTGGACTCTCCATCACTAGAGGGGTTCAAGGAGAGGCTGAATGGCACTGAATGGGCACTGATAGCAATGTCTCTGCAACATCTCTGCTCTGCTACTGGTGTTTTCCAGGTTTCTGGGCTTTGCTGGTTGCTGCATGGGACTGGAGGAGAATTCCCCCCCCTTGCTTTTTTTCACTGCTATGTGTTGGGAGAGGGGAGGGTTTAAGTACTCTGCTGGCTGAGCTTTGCTTCTGAATTTGTCTCTCCCCATCTCTGTCTCTCATCCTGCAGCCCTGCCACCCCTGCCCAGCCCAGACTGCTGGATGCTGCCTGGAAGGGGGGCCACCAGGACAGAGCTTCCCAGACGCAGAGTGAGGACTTGTGGCCTGTGAGCACAGACCTCCTGGGGCATTTCTTGGAGGCCTCCTTCTAGGCCCTGGCTGTAATTTTTGGGAGGGACCAGACTCTGGGGTACCGGCTTCCCCCATGGGGGGGCTGTCTTCTACCAGCCAGACTCCAGCTGCTGCCAAGTGCTATCTTTTTGGGGAAAAAGCTGTCCTTCTCTCTGAAAGTCTAATCCATCCCCGCCATGCCACTCCTGGTTTCTCCAACCTAGCTGGAGCCTGACTGGATCCTGGGAGCTCAGCTTCCTTTTCCAAGACCCCTCTTCTGGGCTCAGCTGGGTGATCTCCATAAGGTGCCTTGATTCCTTCTAGCTTTTAGCTGTCTCTGGGTTTAAGCGTAAGGCTGTATTGTTGTTTTTTTTAATCCAACCATCTCCAGACCTCTTCTCCATAAGAAGCAGGCCAGGGAGGGATTCTTCCCTGCTGGCATGTGGGGTTTGGATATAGAGCTGGTCTTGGAGCAAGGAGGGCTTTGGTCTTTGCGCTCAGGCTTGTGTCTGTGTGCCTGATGTGGATAAGTGCCTCTGAGCCGTTTCATTTGTTGGTTGTAATAAAAGATTTTTTTTTAAACTTTTTCTGTATTGATTTGTAATAAACAAGGAGAACTTCTAAAGAACAGACTATTGCAGTTTTGGTCTGGCTCCCCCAACTCAGTCTCGCCCATCTGGCCCAGCACTTCCTGGGGCAGAGGAGATGACACCCACATATTCCACAATGCATCAGGCTACTACCTATTCTCCCCCCTTAGGACCCTGGGTGTGCTATTATAGGCAACTGATTTGAGGACTGTCTCTACTGCCGTTCATTGGGTCCTGGAGGTGACTTAACAGTCCAAGTCTTGGGGCATGGATGCATCTGCAGACGTAGCAGGTCCTTCCTTCTGCCAAGAAGAGCAGGCCACAGGCTGGTATTCTTTTCCTCCTCCTTCCTCCACTCCCTGTCCTCTGTTTTGTGGGGGTGAGATACATTCTTGAAACAGGATGTGCTGCTATGGGAGCTGGTGAGTAGCCAGCTCCTTGTCCTCACTGTAGGTGGTTGCAGGCTAGGTAACCAGCTCCTCCCAGCTCTCTGCAGGCTGGAGCTGTGTCCCCTGCCCCCATCCTTGTAGGGCTTCCTCCAGCCTTTCTCCTACCTTGTGGGCCCCAATTAAGCTGGGAGTAGGGCACCTGTAAGTGCTTTGGGAGGGTACTCTTCCCATGATGCCACTGGGTAAGAGTGTTTCTTGCTTAGCCATTTCCTTCCCAGAATCCCCTGCTGGGGGGTTGTTTAAGGAGAAAGGTGACCTATGTCCTAATTTCCCATACTGCACTAGACTATCATTCCCCCCCCTCTGCAAAGTACCCTCTGCTTATTCCCCAGTATGCCCTGGAGCTACCCCTGTGCTCCCTTCTCACAATACCGCGAGAGGAGCCCCTTGTCCAACCTTCACACACAGCCCCAGGCACTACATTACCCACAATACCCCGTTGGAGGGGGGGGAACTCTTCCCCTTCCTTTCCCACAATGCTCTACTGGAGCCTAGGTCCCCAACCTCCCCCACCCTACCCCGCGCGGGGCGAGAACGTTTGTTCGCAGGGCATTGTGTGGATTACAGTTCTCGCCCCGCGCGGGGCAGAGTGGGGGAGGTAGTACCTCAGTGTCCGCAGGGCACTGTGGGAGGTTTGGATGCTGAAGAACTACGTCCCCCACAATGCCCTGCGCGGGGTGAGACACCCCCCCCTCCCCTTTGCGAACAAACGTTCTCGCCCTGCGCCCAGACCCTTCGGTACTGCGTCCCCCACAATGCCTCGCGCAAGGCGGCCTCCCTGCTCGCGCTTCCCGCTATGCCCCGCGCGGCAGCAACACTGTGGCGGGCGGCGGGCCCGGGCGTGGCGCTGCGGCTGCTGGGCCAGGCCGAGGTGCGGCCTGACTTCGTGAGCCCGGCCGAGGAGGCGGCGCTGGCACGGGAACTCGAACCGCAGCTACGCCGCCGTCACTACCAGTTCGACCACTGGGACGGGGTCAGCGGGGCTGGGGCACGGTCACGTGGGGAAAGTCACGTGACAGATTGAGGGTAGTCACGTGGGGCTGGGGCAGTCGCATGGGGCGGGAGTGTGACTTAGGGGTGGGGGTGCTCATACCGGTTGCGCGTGGGAGCTGCGGGGGCGGGCCCATGGGTTGGGGGTAGCCAGGATTTGCCATATGGGGGGCTGCCATGGTTAATCACCGGGGGGGAGGCAGTGGGTGGGTTGGGGGGAACCTGGGGGATATCCATGGGGCAGCAGGGTCCTTCCATGGTGGTTGAGGGCTGAGGCCAGGGCAGAGAACCTCTGTAAGGTTGGGGCTAGCCTGGGGGGGTGCAGTTATCACTGCTGTGGGGAAATTGGTGGGTGTGGGGTCTGGTAGGGGAGCAGAGCTGGGTGTTTAGCAGGAGCCCATCCCTGGCCCTAGGGTTATGTGGGGTGCAGTGAGACTGGATCCCAAGGGAAGAGCTTCCCTAACCCCCCTGATTTGCCCCCACTGTCTACCCTGCAGGCTATCCATGGCTTCCGGGAGACTGAGAAGTCCCACTGGAGCGCTGAGTGCCAGCAGATCCTGGAGCGGGTGCGGGCAGCTGCCTTACCCCCCAATGCTCCCCACCTGGGGCCTGTGCACGTGCTGGACCTGGACAAGAATGGCTATATCAAGCCCCATGTCGACAGTGTCAAGGTGAGGGGTCAGGGGGGCCTCAGAGGGGGGTAGCCTCCATCCACATGCTGTTGTGGGCTACTAGAGCACCCTCCCCACCCCAAGTTGGTTACATTGTGGGGGCTCTCAGGGGCAAGCACTGCCTCTCTCTGACACCCCTCCTCCCTGCCCTGTGGCCAGTTCTGTGGCTGTACCATTGCAGGGCTCTCCCTGCTGTCAGCCAGTGTTATGCGCCTGGTGAGTGAGGAGAACCCTGAGGACTGGCTGGACATGCTGCTGCCCCCCTGCTCCCTCTACATTCTCAGGTACCAGGACACTGTGGGCATGGGGAGGCTCCCAGTCTGTCTTCCGGCCCCTCTAGGCCTCTATCCAGTGGGCAGCACTGCCTGGGGAGCTGAAAGCCCCTGGAGCTGACCCCCTTTTTTCCTACCCTGTCAGGGGCCCAGCTCGCTACAACTTCACCCACCAAATCCTGCGGGATGAGGACTCCTTCTTCAATGGGCAGAGGGTGCCCCGGAAGCGGCGCATCTCCCTCATATGCAGAAGCCTGCCAATGCCCCCCTAACTTAGTGGGGGACAGGACACTCCAGATCCCAAGCCACAACAGAGGATGGTGGGGAAATGCACCCAGCTGCATCAGGCCAGGAGAGGGGAGGGGATCCTGTCCCCTCCTTGCAATTAGAGTCTGGCTTAATTGAGCCGGATGGGTACAGCTGCCTTGTTTGCACACGCCAGCTGATTAAAGCCAGGAGGTTGGAATGGCTTTGTCTCCTGTCTTCCTCTATCAACATATAACCACCCCTTGTCTTTGAGGGCTTACAGTTGTTCATTTTCTCCTGAGAGTTGCTGCTGTCCTAGGAGAAACCCCGAGTGCACACAGTCATGCTGCTTCTACCAGAGTAAAAATGCTGGCTCCAGGAATAAAAATGAACCTAGGAACTACCAGGGTCAAGGGTTAAATCTTTCCCAGGAGGGTCACTGTCTGCCATAAGACTCAGGGGTCCTAATACCTCCCCTCTGTCTCATTTGGGGCCCTATGTTTCTGGGGTGTGGATGGAGATGGCAGGAGGGGGACATTGGCTGAGAATAGGATGCTTTTGGAGCCCCCTGCCCCCAGCTGTTCTCCCCACAAACAGCCTCAGGCCTAGCACTCAGCTTCACACGTTTATTACCCCCACCCAGCTTCACAGAGCAGCCAGGAGCTCGGGCAGGGGGTCTCAGAGCTGGGAGGTGGGGGTATCTCCCTCATCCCCTATCACCTAGGTAGGGGACAGGGAATAAATACAATAACTTAGGGGTCCCCAGCAGAGCCCCAGTGAGCAGAGAGCAGGATGGGGCTGGTGGGTTTGGAGTGGGGTGTGGGGGGGGAAGAGAAGGCTAGGGAAAAAGGTTGCCTATCTTGGGGGGGTGGTACTCAGCCCACACAGCCGCAGGCAGCAGCCGAGAGCTCGCGCACCTCATGCCAGCGGTGCCCATCATCCAGGAAGGCAGCATCCTCATAGCGTGTGGGTCGGCAGCAGGGGCCCCCAGGAAGTTTGCCTTCACCCTGGGTGGGCAGGTCCCAGCCCTTCAAGGAGAGCCGGGCCAGGGCCAGGTCATGATTGGAACGGGTGCTGGGGCAGCCCCCGCTGCAGTACTTGAAGAGCATCGTCTCCTCTGAGGCGTAGCCCAGTCCCAGGTCCTTGACCCGCAGTGCCAGGCTCCGCAGCTGGCACTCATGCTCCCAGGGCACCACTGCCTGTGCCCGCCGCCGGGGGCGTTGCTGGGAGGCCACCAAGGGCAGTGGGGTGGGGGCTGCAGGCTCTGGGGTCCCTGGAGAAGGGAGGGAGGCAGAGATTGTGCCAAGGACCAGGCATAGACTTTGATCCAGCTCCCCCCCACCCCCAACCATGCTCTGAGGTACCCCCAGCCCTTGGCACTGAGCAGAGACCCCCCCTACACGCCCTCTGGAATGCCCTCAGCCCTGTGGCATAGAGCAGAGGACCCCCTCCCCCAATTCAAGGCAGTCTAGCTGCAGTGGGCAGAATGGAACCCAGAACACTCCCCATCACCCTCCAGAAGTGCCCCATACCTGACACAGTGCCCCTGCAGGGGCCAGATCTGGGTACCAAAGTGGGGGGAGGGGGCCTCACTTTGAGCCAGAAAGAAGGGAGTGTTGGGGTAAAGATGCCCCCCACAACCTCCCCTCCAGTGCGTAGCTCTGGGCAGACTGATGCTGGGGTGAGGGGCATGTGGTGGGGGGGTCAGAGTCCCCCCAATACACAGCAGTCTGACCAGTGCTGAGGGGTAAGGGGACCTGGGGGTTGAGGGGAGC